AAACTTATTTTGATTATTTTAGAATGGATCATATATAATATATATATATATATATATATATATATATATATATAATTTTATAAATATAATTAAAGAATATAGACTATAACTCCTATTATTAAAAAATGCATAACACGTGACGAATTTTATACCAAACAATAATCATTATATATAATTATTTTTCAACAATACATGAATTTATTGAGACAGAAAAATATAATTCTATCAAAACGACTAAATTATGACTTGAGCATATTTTTTATAATTTGACATGATGACCGGTTGGAATTTCTCAAAAAAAAACTTATGGATTTTATCTTGTTATGACTAGTGTTTTGCTAAATTTTTTATACTCTTCATGGGCTAAAACTTAATTTCATGTTTCTATACTTGTCAAATTTGCATTGTGTGTTAATATCAACTATTTTACAGATTTCTTTAGGGACTTCAAATTTTTTTATTGTTTCTTTTGATAAAATATTGATTTTATTTGAAGTGATGTTTTAATATTTTATTAAATCTCAGTATCATCAATTTTTGGATTTATTCCATAAATTATTTGTTGTTTTATAGGATAATTACTTTTTGTATGTTCATATTTTCAAGTAAAATACAAAGTTTTCAATCAAAGACTCACAAAAATTATGATTTTATTTTTTGATTTCCAATTGAACTGTTTTTAAAATTTTTGTACAAAAGAAATTTAATATAATTGTTGTGAGTCTTTGTAAGTTAATTTAAAAAAATATATTTCATATACTTGATTTTTTACATAGTTCTTTTAAGTAACAAATGAAAAGTGAAAAATTATACAATGAAAAGTATATTACACATCAAACAAGTATAAAACATTGGATTAAATATAATTTTTTTAGTAATTATATAAAATGTTTAAAAATTATTTTATATGACAAAATTTTATAAAATTTACATTTTTTAGAGAAAATCATTAATAAAGTTAAGCACTATTAAAAAAATTATTATCAAAAATCTTAAAAAGGAGATATCATTCACAATATCACAAACAAATATGTGTTTTATTTTGGTTACATGTGAAATAAAAATAAGAAGGTATAAATCTTTTTCTCTTTTTTAACATATTTTTTCCATAATATATACATGCATAATCCCATTGCAAGTAGTTACATGATGGTTGAACCAAAAAGCTGCTGACACTTTGAATCTTGTCAAAATTATTTTTGTGATTCTTTTAACATAACTTCAAACAAGTTGAGAGGGGCCTTTCCTCTAATACTCACTTTGGGTTCCAATCTTCTAATTAATAACCAGTAGGTTTTTATAATGAGAATTGAATAATATCTACGTACAATATTTACTACTTTCTCCATAGATCTACATGAAGGGAAGTAAACACCGAATATCTTCGTGTGTTAGAAAGTGTGCACTCTTGTTCATACCTTTTGGGTTCAAAGGTAGAAAGAAGGTTAAATTTTACTAGGGAATTTTTGTAAAGTTAAGCACCAATCCTAGATATTAACTACTTGTTTTCGTTTTATTACAAATGAAAGAAGATTTAGACTCATGTAAAAGGATGAATTTCGAGTTTCGAGAATTAATATTCAAACATCTTCCAGAAATGTAACAAGAATACTCTGACAATTGGAATGAGAGATTTAACCAGACGATTGTAGGGAGGAGCACTTTGATTGGGTCCAAATTGTACGTTGGTGGGTGTATTTATTATAGTACGCGAAGAGGAGAATGGTGCAAAAAGGTTCTAGTTCCTCTCAATGATCAAGAGGGAGTAAATGAAAATCTCACGCTAAAATTGCATAGAACGGGAATCGCATAGAGTCAAACTAAATATGGTCAAGAGTTCTCCACTACCATTGATAAGTATTATGCTCGTATGAGTTTTGATAGACGAGAGGTTGATAGACAACGGAAGTGACGGTCAAAAGTCGTCGAAAGTCGTCACGTCAGAAATTATATGGCTTTATCCAGGCTCGAACTGGAGACCTTCAGTGTGTTAGACTGACGTGATAACCAACTACACCATAAAACCGGATGTTCCTCGAAGGGACACTAGAAAACTCCCTTTCTTATCGGTGTACACGACAAAAAAATCACCTTCTCTGTTCAGAGCTTTAAAAGCTATATTCTACACATTTTTGGCATTTTCGTGTGGAAAAAACATCTCGAGATGCAGGACTCTCCATTTCCTACTCATTGCACAACATTGCGGTGGCAGGATTCATGATTGAAGACGGAAGAAGAGGAGGTTTCATGAGACAACTCCTCAGTCCTCATGACTTCTGTAACAAGATGAGAGAGTGTAGTCCTGTTATCTCACTGTTTAATAACATATTTTCTTCACCTTTTGTAATAGATTACAAGTTGGATTGCGTTTCGGGAACTAGAACATTTGGACTCCAAAAACTATGTTGCAAGTACTCTAAGCTGATGTTTCATGTAGTATATTATTATACATCACCCCAAGTTGAAAAGTTGGAATAGAATGCAAACACTTTCAAGGTCAAGAAAGTCAATTACAATGCTAGGACTTGTGATTGAACTGCTAAAACATATTAAATAACTTCAAAGATCTCGTTATAATGTATACTGGGTAAAGATACCCGTATACATTGAGATGATATAATTTTTCAACAAAAATCCTCAGGACTGTGAGAAATGATTCCTATTTTTATTTGTTTGATATGATGTTTCTGTTAATGTCTACAATAATATATGTTGCTATAGATCGACACACTAAGATCAACACTCTATCAAACGATTTTGATATTCAAAGTTTGAACATAAGAAAGAAAAAAAACCAAAATCAACATTAAAAAAAAAACACCAAAACTAACGAAATGAGAGGATAAAAGTGGAAGGTTTTGCACTTTTTAAAATAAAGAGCTTATAGAAGAATAATATCATCTTGAAAACATTTATGAGTAGTATGAAAGAACCTAATTATCATGATATTCAAATAAGAAAATTTTGAGATTGGTATTATGGTGTTAGCAAAGTCACAATTTTATCGTCATATATTTACTTTTTTTTACTTCCTCAAACTATTCCATCATTTTCTCGCTTAAGATGAAGTTTAATGACAGTACTTGCTTATAGTAATAAGCAAGTATTGTAATCACAAGTTGACTTGCTTTCATAAAATTTTTTTCATGTCAGCATCATATATAAACTTGAAAGCTCTTGTAAATATACATCTCGACTAATTCGATGACTGTTGTTGAGATTGAACAAAATTCCAAACGATCCATAACTGATTGTGACATTTTACTAATAGTACACAATGATATTTCATCATTTTGGGTATTTACATATTTATTTTTAAATTTAAAATGATGTTCATTAACTAAAAAATGTATCAAAGTATGTTGAAAAAAAAAGTTCTCAAGTCCAACATTTTGAAAGAAATAAGTAATCTTGATGACTTTATATGTTGGATCTGATACAACATCTGATTGCTAATGAAACTCTTTATTTCGTGTTGACAACGTTTTTGAGTTTGCTACATGCTTCCAACAAAATCTACACTTTTAACATGGCAATTTGAAGTGAAGAAGAATCAAAGGCTCCGATATATTTATAGATGTCTTGCATATTTCATCACAATTGCACTATATAACAAGTTTTTCTTTCAAAGTAAGCTCGGCTGAAATAAAATCTAGCAAAACTACAGTGCATCGTTTTGAACAGAAAATCAATATAATTTCCTCTATATAAAACCCAAACAGTAGTAAGTTTCTAATAATGCACACAATCCTGGAGAGATTTGCTTGATGGACCCCTGCGGAAAGTAATTTGCTTGATGGGACCCCTCAGGTTTAGTTTTACCCGATGGGACCCCAACGACAGTGTGCCGTCGGACATAGTTCTTGTAACTACGATTACTACTAGTTACAATGCGGGAATTACAAACAGAGATTAATTCTTGATTATAATTTCTGGTGGATTATCACGGGGACAAAGATCGATTTTGCTCGAAGTGCAATTTGTTGTGCTTCAATTCTTCCCACCGCAAAGATTCGCGGATTTCTCTGTTGCCTCCCACCTGCACACTCCTTCCTTCCGTAACCCTGCTCAAGTCTCACGATCACCCATTTGTGACAAACAAATAAACTCCGGATGAACTCTGTCCCCATAGGGTAAAATGAAACCTTAAGGGTCCCATCAAGCAAATTACTTTCTGCAAGTGTCCCATCAAGCAAATCTCTCCACAATCCTGTCATGTGAATCAATTACCTGAAAGTCAGATTGATGTTATAGTCACCTCGAATTTGCAACTATTGACATTTTACCCATAATCTTCAAGTACTTCTCATTTTGCATCTACAATCACATCATAAATGTCTCCCTAATCAAATTTGTTTGTTTATGTATAGATTGGTTATGATCTCATATGAATTCATGTGTGTGATTGCCATGTTTGATTTGGTAGATCTAGAAGGCAATTTAGCATCGACTGTATTGAATCAAATTTTATGGAAAATTCGATAGATTTGTTACATTGATCCAGAACGACAGAGAGACTGGTGCATCAGTCGTGTACCATGCCCTTTGTGCCTATTCCATTCATTTTGTGCACAGCAATTTCTAGATATTATCTACAACCTCCATATTTTGTATGAAGCCAATGTTGCCCAAGTAATGATCATATGCCGATGAAATCAAGTACTTACACAAAACAATTGGAAGACCTTCTAGAACTTACACTAAATTTTACGTCAACTTATTCTCATACAATTGCCTACCCTGTCAATTATTTGACGGGGTAGGATGTTGTGTTACGTTACAGTCATAGGATCAATTCTAAATGCGTGATTGTCAAGAGGATTAGTGCGCGTCGGCAAAGAAGGAGGTAAAGCACAACGTCTACTTGCACTGCTCATACATATATCATGACCATAATAAGTATGAGAGAGCAGCACAACAGAGCTAGAACAAGAGCATCAGATTATGGCAATATAGGCACGCATCCAGTTTCATGGCTTACTTAAAAAAAGCGAGAGTATGAACACGAGGCATATGAAAACACCTAGTGTAATCAGGAAAGTATACTTGCATCCTCTTAAAAACTTATACATGTGGTCGAGCCAGAAGTACAGATATTCGAGGTACTGAAGTTCGTTCACAGGTGAAAGATGGAGGTGAAGAGTGGTTGTCTCAATCTCAACTTGCCAGGGACTAGAACCTTGGACAGGGTTTGCATGCAGCAGTAACCAACCCATATGTCATGAGCGTGGGGCGAAAAGTCAAGAACCGGGGAGTAATCATTTGTTATGTTTAGAATTATCGACGAATAATTACAAAAGGTTGAAGTGAAACATCCCAAATATCTGGAAGACTTTGGCACCCATGTGTAGAGTCGCACGAAAGCTTTCTATCGTACTGGTACAATCTGTGGCATGATACAATGATATCTTCACAATTTTTTTGAAGGAGTCGCTGCTCTTTGCCTCCGAAATCAACTCGCTTTGGAGATATTGGTACAGCTCAGTGTTACATATCCATAGACTATTCCAAAAGTGGGCTCCCTTCCTTCAACAGGACAAAGATACTTCCACCATCTCCTCGAGAAATTCGCAAATCACCGTCCAAGTAAGTAGTCAAGAGCCAGGATTGAGTTTTATCAGATTGAAATGGAAACTTGAAAGGGGGCTGACCAGAGATAGTCCTCGCAAGAGACGATGCGGCGTCTTGAAGGGGACGCAGCACACTTTGGAAAGCTACCAAATCGACCTTTTGACCCAGAACCTCCACATTGTCGGGGATTTCGATGGAGTCGGTCAGTTGCGGTGTCCCGATGATACCCTCTTCGAACTTTACCTGAGAATGAAGGAAAAACGGTCAGCTCAAGGGTCCCTAAAGAACCACAACCATAAAGGATAAAACACCAGTAAAATGAGAATCCCCACTCTCCGATATATGGTGATAGAGTCCATTCCTCTCTCAGGGCTGTAATTTTGACTACAGAATCACAGCCCTGATAGAGCAATCATGGAATACGTGACATTCAGAAAAATGATGAAAATCCCTTCTACTAAACTCATTCCCTACGAGGACTCGTGAACATAAGAAACGTGTGTCCTTTTAAAATGATAGAAATGAGTGATTGACAAACTTTCGTGAAACACTAACCTGAACTCGCTTCGGGCTGCGAACTTCGAACGTCGCAGATGTGCTGAATGAAGTAGTGGCCAAGGGTCCAGAAAAACTAACAGAATTTTGGACTGTGAACGCCGACGCGTCAAACGTTTGAGAGATCTCCCCCACTTTTATAAGGGGCAAGTTGGCGGCAGCCAGCAACGGGAAAAGTTCAGAAAACGAGGTGTAACTGCAAGTATAAGACAGGGCCCAGTGAGCTAAACTCTCTCCTCTCGTCAGAAAATCACTGGAAGATTTGTAACCCGCCACACAGCGGCACAAACACACCCAAATAAACAAAAATTACATGGGTCAAATCTAGAAATCTATTCATCACTAGCATAATAAAGTACAATTTCTACTAGTCCTCTATGTGTGACATAAAGCCATCTTATAATTGGAAAATGGCGCTAGAACTGGACGGAATTTGATAACTTAAAAAACCTTCTGCAACAATTTTTTGCACTAATTTACCACAACAAGAAGAAAACAGGCCGGTAACTTAAACAATTGCAAAAAGTGAAGACACGTACGCAAGGACCCATTTTCCGTTCAAGAGGGTGAGAGCTTCGGTTGGGGCGGCAGTGGGATTTTTGGCTTCCAGCTGCGTAATCAGCTCGACAATCTCTCCACGAGTTTCGCTGCTGGCCCTGAGTCCACGATCAGTTCCATACAAGGAGTCAACCAAAGCCTGCTTCAAATCCTCAACAGTGCTCTCATCCTCCTTCACGAGAGTGGTCGTTTCGTCACTAGGTCCCTCAAAACTAGTCGCAGAGGCAGCAGCAACAAACGCAGAGCTCCCCGCCCTCCCGACAACCACCTTCTGCTCCTTCAGATTCCCCCACGACACGACACCAGATTGCACCAACTTACTCCTGACACAAACCACGCAAGGGGCCTGCCGCCCGCTCTCCGCACTCACTCCTCCTACACTCGGCACTCCCAAAGCGACACTCGTGCCGCAACAGGCTGCCATCGCCATCGCCATGCTCTCGGACGGCTCCTTCACACTCCAAAGCCCCCTCGATCAAACGACCCAACAAGCCGTGGCAATCTTGACAGCAAAAATCTCCAAAAACCCGATCAAATGAAACAAGAAACCAATCGATCGACCTCCGAGAAGGCACGAGAAAAGATTCAGGGGAGAAGAAGAAGCAAGTGGAAGAAGCGAGTCCGCACGCACTTTCTGCAAGATCGTCTGAAATCTCGAAGACCGCGCTCTGCTCGCCCTCCGCCCTCGCCTTTCTCTTGGCTCCCCGACGCCTCTCCCTCCCTCTGAGCTCCAGGCGCTGGGGCCCGCGGCCCGCGCCTCGGACAGCCTTGCTCGCCCGCTCGCTTGCTTGCTTGCGTGGCACGGGACGAACCGCGATTGGCGAGCTACCACAACGACCGAATGTTGCATCCGCGCTCTTGAGCACGGTTCTCGTTCGGTGAGTACGGTGGGGCCTCCCTCTCCACGGGACTGCAGTACAGTCCTTTACGCCGTAGTTACGCCACCAGTCGCGATTAGCGACGAATCGCTTTCTTCGAGTGTTTGCTTTCCGCATTATGGTCTTTCCTCCTTCGGACCTTCTCCCGTGGACGTCACTTCCGTAGTGCAAGCGAGCTTCCATTCGTCCCCGCTTCGTGATTCGCTCGCTCGTGCTGTAAGATCTCAATGATTTTCGCTTCCTGGAGTGTTTGGATTTGGTGAATATTCGTGATTCAGGAGTATGCAGATCTACGTGGTAGTGGTGGTGACGTACAAGGCACTTGAAAGGCACCCCCGTAATAGACACCGAGTCGTGATCCCCGCTGATCGACTCTCGGCTCCTCTGGTTGTTGGAGGAAGCATCCTCTGGGACTGGGCTACGGAGTAGAGCTTCAAATATTTTGGGAAAACAAAATCCCTTCAAACATTTTTTCTGTATCTCACAATTAGAACACAACTAGAGAAAATGTATTCCCTTGAATATATATATATACATGTGACTCTTTCAGAACTAAAGAAATATAATTTCACGTAGACAACAAAAATTGCACAGAAAAACGTATGCACCGTGATATCTACATGAAATAAGACGATGCATACTGTTCTGTGTATTTTTTGACTGCACTGAGTCCCCTATACGTGATAACGCTGTGACTTATTTCCAGGAGAGAACATGATTTCATTTTTTCTGGCTTGCTCAAGGGCGATAATGCCAACAAGAACTTTTAAAGTGAACCTTACTGTGCCCGCCTTCCTTGCAGCTCCAGTGATCAATAAAATTATCAAACCTGACGTTAAGAACTGTCTTCAAGGAGCTTTTATCGCCTTAACGTAAGTTAAAGAAAATGTTCGATTTGAAGCTCTGTTCAGAAACCTTCCCCAGAACGTAAGCGCTAGCTTTCCAGATTCGGTCTCGTAAATAATGCTTTTCACAGTAGTCTGTCCAAACTGGATCATCGGGTGAATGTTTCTGACCATGGATAAAAACCTGCAATCTGTTGATGCTAACATGAAATTAAAACTTTAATATTTTTCCCATGTTGCTATCAAATTTCGAATTACTTGCCCATAATACTTAACATCAATTTGAAGATGAAGATCAATCATGACACTCTCGGAGGACAGGGACATTGTATCTTTCTGAGGGTGAAGGTAAAACGTGATGTAAAGTATGATTCTGAGACCGAAGCGTAAAGAGGGTCGGATAAATGGGGTGGATAAGAACTACGATACTACAGTAGCCACAGCAACTGGTCACGCACGCCATCCACACCTCGACGACGGATTTGAAACTACAGAAGTCAAACACGTGGCGACTTGGGAACCTTCAGTGAGATCCTGGAGTTTGAAAGAGTAACCTTCGGGTCAGAAAAATATCTGCCTTTGTCCGCCTTCCCAACTGTCAGAGCAGAATCTGTCATGCTGTGAACCGTCGGGTAAAGATATGGTGACTTGTGTGCGGCAACGGGAAGCCAAGACCCTTTTCCGTATGCAATTTGAAGTGATTGACTATTCTCGCAGTTCGCGAACCAAATTTAGTTCTTGCTCCAGAATGTTCTTCTTCGTCAATTCCCGTGTACGAGGCATCCTCTGTTCTTTGATTGACTTTCGATCTTGATCAAACCCCAAGGTGCTCCTGCTGCTGTGACGTGAGTTGGTGGAAGAAAGAAAAAAATTTGTTTCTTTCTAGGCAGATGAGTAAACAATGCGGGGCGGAATATATTGGAAGGAGGGTGGTAGTGATGGAGACTTTTGAACTCGGCTATTCGACAATTTGGAGAGGAAGGGAGCACACCATAAATGTTGGCCGAGTGATGGGAGAGGGAGGATCATGTGGAGAGTGCTGGTCTTTGCAGCCATCCAGTTCTGATTTTGCAGCCCCACCGTCATGCTGAGAAAAATTGTTGACTGGAGGAGAGAATGTGTGGGGATTTTAATATCTGTTGCAGGTTACACGCCATGCCCATCTCTGAGGAGTTATGTGTAACATTGGAGATTATCTTATCTTCAGTCTTGTGGATTTGACCCTTCATCCAGAGTGTGCTCTGTGTGAAGGACCACGAGAAAATTACATTCGAATCGAGGAGTGGTATTCTGGGAATGGCTAATGATGCCTTTTTGATTGAAGAATGCTCCAATAGCTTTCGAAGAGTCATAGTCCATGTTCTGAAGTACATGGACCATGAATCTTCGAGCTGCAAGTTTCTTGAAGTGCTGTATGGATAACGCGCTGTTCCATATCCAGGGTTTGAGCAACATTTGAGTAATCTTGAAGAGTTTCAGAGAGCCTCTGCATGAGGATCTAACGTTAAATTCCAATGTGAGTAATAATTTCGCTCTTACGTCAGTAGTTTACCTCGGGAATCACATTCTTTCTAACGGTATTAGGGATCGTTGGGACAAAGTGAGATGGCCAACCTAGTAATGTGAGTAAATGGAGAAGCTTCGCAGGGGTGTAACTACTGTCAGATTTACGCCAGGAATTTCCGTTTTTTTTACATCCTCCCTAGACCCTATGAAGAACGATGTTTCTTCGACATACATAGAGCTAAGAGGTTCAATTTGAAAGGCAAATTGAACGCCGGTTAGATGTGCACTTTTCGATGGATGTAACTAATTCAGTAGCTCATATGTAGGTAGAATGCCTAAATAGTATTTTGCAAGAATTTATTCCTTCTAAAACTAGGTCTATTTAAGATGATATTCCTAAAGGATATTTGTATAACCAGAGAGCTGGGCTTAGGCAAATTGTTTGGGAGCATTTGCGAGATGTGGAAGGTATTTTACAAAGGTTCATTGAAGTAGGGCTTAATATATCCGGTGAGAAGTCATCGTTTGGTTTGGACTTGCTTGCTTGGACAACTTGCTCGGCCTTCTCCCATTAGCTCCACCAAATGGGAGAAGGCCGAGCAAGTTGAAGGTAGGTGCTATCAACTAGATGCAACATTGTGGCATAACATTAGAGGTTAGAATATTTCTTGGTGCATGCATCTTGTTCAAGATTTGGATAGCCCATTTTGACCATGTTGCATATCCACTCTATGATCTTTTGAGGGAATGTGAAGTTTGTGTGGACTCATGTTCATGCAAAAGCAATGAAGTTATTGAAGTACACACTAGTCAGTACACCAATTCTACTACCTCAAAAGTACGGTAATTCTTGGCCTATAATTGTTATTTTTGACTAAGTACTCATGAATCTAGTATGGACAGTAGGGCAAGATGATGAAGATGGCAATAGATTTGCTACTCGTTTTGGGGCCAAGATATTTATCGAGAGACAGAGGCGTTATCCTCAAGTAAAGCTACAGTTGTAGGGTGCAAAAAGTAACACTTAAGGAAGAAAAAAATTACTTGATAGGAGCTCATGTAATCCTAGAGATAAATTGTTTGCCTTTATTAAGCATGATTGCAAATTGCGTTACTCCGGATATTGCTATGCTCAAGTGGATAGCATTTATAAGAATGTTTAATCTAGAGCTTAAGCATATTGCTAGGAAAGATAATCGAGTTGCCGTTATGCTTTTTATAGTTAGATTTTCTAGTCAAGAGCATTTGGAGTATGCCATAAGTATGGCTTTGACTAGTGAGGATGATTATCAGCAATTAGAATTTCGTGAAGATTTGTATTCAAGGAAGTTGATGCACATAAGATGCTATCTTAATACGTTGGAGAAGGATCCACAATGAAGTGCAAAACACTTTCAATAGGATAAGAAAGAAATTTTACCAATCCATGCTAAGAGATGGAATTCTTTAGAAGCATCCAAAAAAGAGTATCATATACATCTACGAGTTTGTACAAACAAAAAAATACCAAGATTTTGCAAAATCTACACAATTTTGACACAGCAGGCCACAAGGGCAGAGATGTTACCTACAAGAGAGTGAAGACACTCTATTGGTGTTTAGACATGTATGTGTATGTAAGTGAATATGTGAAAACTTGCAATGTTTGTCAATTTTATTCCAAGGTTAAACATATAGATGGATTAGTGACTACTTATCCACTTTCTTTGCATTACCAATGAACAATAGACATAGTGCATATGTGTAACCATCTTTAGTTAGTTAAAAATAAAGTAGATGTTATTCTAAATGTTGATATAAATACTTTAGCGTGCACTAGTCATAGCTGTCACATCAGCGATTCGCGCGATTGGTAGATAGAGAGTAGGTGTGTTAGTTGATAGTGCCATGTCAACGATCCGTGTGCTTGTTAGGGTTATTCGCCACGTCATCCATCCACTAGGAGTGAAATAGATGGTGGGAATCAAATCTTACCTCCTTGTACTTGTTGGTGAAAGCTATATAAGGGAGAGTAGAATCATTGTTGGTATCTCTCATTTTCAGAGTTTATATTCCCATACTCGAGTGAACTTTTCTCTAAAACCTAGTGTTACAATATGCCTAAAGGAATTAGAAGTGCTCAATATCTTGTTTTGGCTATTGAAGATCTTTTGTCATATAGTGAAGGAAGAGTATCAACTTCAAACAAGACTAAGGCAGTATGTAGGTATATTTCAGAGAAGAAGTTACAAGAAGTTATGGCGGATGGATTACTTATCATCTACTCCTTTCAAATGTGATACTTCAAACCTAGTTTGAACACGTTCAAGTCTTTTTGCTCCACTAAAATCCATGATATATATTTGAAGATCATAAAAATTTTCAATGTACTTATGATTAATTTCTTTTTATTTTATATTTCACAATCTCATTCTTATAGTTTGAAGAGTGTACGACACTTGAAAATTTTGTAGAGTTTTTTCTTGCAATTCACTCCACAAAATGATAGCACCTCATACTGAAAACATTTTCTTCTATGTTGTGTACCATGTGAACGACTTATTCGTAAGATAAGAATTCATGAATTCTCATGCAATATAATCAGAAACATGAAAATGATATAAATAAATATTTGTCCTCATTATATATCCCTCTAAAATCTATATTGCTCTATTTTTTTGTAAGGTAACTTACAAGGATAGATGGATGAATAAAATCTTCTAATCACATTGGACAGTGTGTAAGCAGAGGATGAAAGGAGTCAGACAACTCTCAGTTGAGGATAGATGGACCGGAGTCAAACAACTCCAAATTGAGAACATGTACACTGGAGTTAGATAGCTCTATATTTAGTGCATTGGAGTCAAACCACTCCAAGATTGAGAACATGTGCACTGGAGTTAGACAGCGCTATAATTAGTACATTGGAGTCAGACCATTCCAAGATTGATAACATGTGCACTGGAGTTAGACAGCTCTATATTTAGTGCATTGGAGAGTAGTGAATTATCTTTACTCTATATATAGGAGTAAAGACCTAGAAAAGTCTCTAATTTAAAGTGATAGAAGGATCTAGAATGATCTATGGATTATCTTTACTCCAGATATAGGAGTAAAGAAGATGAAAACATCTAGAAGAGTCTCTGAGTTGAAGAGATAGAAGAACCTAGAAGGATTTGTGGATTATCTTTACTCCAGATATAGGAGTAAAGGAGATAGAATGATCTATGAATATGCTAGACTCTGGGACATAGTCTGAGATAGACTCTAGTTCCTTTTGGGAAGGAACTAGTAAAGGCTCGGGGGTGAGAAGGTGAGACACTTTTTTTGGTGATCTCTTCTCAACGGTTGGGTGGTGAGCCTCAGTTAATATATTTTGAGCTTTATAGTTTATTGGGTTTTATCTTTCCTTTGTCTTTATTTGAAAGTTGGTGGCAAACCTGTTGGAAGGTTTGTTACACTTTTGTAATCTTTCATCTCACAAAATTTTCCACTTTGAAGCAAAAGATTTGTTTGATTTTTAATTTCTTGAAAACGTCCTCCATTTGTCTATAGTGCATCAATAGAAATTGGTTCCGATTCAACTTTCATCTCTAACTCTTTCTTTCTCTACTTTCTCATTCTCTAATGCAAAGATTTTATCTTCGATTACTTGTTACTTGATATATCCATCTATTATAATTTTTCTCAACTCTTTCATCTGCGTCATGATTGCACTAAAAATCTCACCAATATCAATTGATGTCTCTATGCTTTCTCACACTTACTCTAATACAAAGTAAATATAATAACGACATGATCTCTCAACAAAGAAATCATAAAGTGTATAGGTGATTCTATCAACTACAGTACTATCTCCATAATTGCTCACAAGAAAATTTCTTCCCAATCTCTTCTATTGATATACTATCTAATCTTTACATAGGTGTTCGACCAAATCGGGGTGGATGGTATGTGGTTCAAATCCATAAAACATTCACTATAAAATGTATATGATACAATTTCAAGTCTCTCCATAACTAACTATTGGAAGAATTCGCGACATTTTTGCCCATCACTCTAGTCATAAAATTTACATCCCAACAAGCCACAATGTACAACCCAAAATTATGTTTCTTCATGCAATGAAGCAATCAGCATTTACGGTACTAGATTCCTATCAAGTCCATCAACATATGCAAAACCACTATTTCTCCCTTTACTTTTTTCTCTACAAGTAGATCAATGACCTATACCAACATCTATATCCTCTCAAAACTACACCCTATCATTACTCATTTGCTATTCTATGAAAGATAATCCACAGTGAAAGAAAAAACGAGATTGCTCTAATATCATTATGACACTAGAGTTTTGAGAGAAGATGATTCAAAGATGAAAACATAAACTCTGAAGATGAAAGATACTAACAATGGTTTTACTCTCTCTTATATAGCTCTAACCATTAAGTACAAGGAGCTAAGATCTCATCTCCATCATCCAATCCACTTCTAATAGATGGAAGACATGGCGGATATATCTAATGAACACACGGATTGTTGACGTGTCATTCCCAACTAACGCATGAACTAGCACACGGATTGATGATGTGACATTATGTATATTCCACTATTCTACTCTACTCAATCTTAAGTAACCTCTACTTTAGTTCTAACTAACTAAAGATAGTTACAATTCATTTCAAAAGATGTGATAAATTTGATTCCAAAATATAAAACTAGGGTATAGACAAAAATTCACTCAAAGATAAATTTTTCAATTATGAAGATGATAGATTTCAACAATAGTTATATTCTTTCTTATATAAATCTTATGAGCAAGTACAATGAAACAATATTTCATTTTCATCATCAATTCCACCCTAGTGGAAAGATTACATGGAAGATAATTCTAAAAAATACATGAATTGTTGATGTGACGCTCACGAGTAACACACTAACTAACATATTAAATCTTTACCTAACAAACACACGGATTATTGACATCACCCTGTCAACTAACACAATTACCTCTTTCTATCAAGTATACAAATCATTAACGTGACAAGTATGACTAATGCACTATAAAGTAGCTATAACTTCATCTTGGATGATCCGTATTCTAACCAACTAAGCATAGTTATCAACCTCTTTCCTTTTACAACGTAACACACTCGTTTCACATCTATTCAAATTTTTGAATTATCTACAATGCATTAGTTAGATTTTTAGCTGGTTTTCAAGTTGATTTGTAGAATGATATTCTTTTCATTAAACTTAATATTATATCTTGGATAATTAAGTTTAATGAAAAGATAATTATGATTTGACTTGGGATAATTATGTCTCCAAAGTTTAATCATAAATTCATTGATCTTT